CTCCGAAATGGAAGTTTCCCAGAGACTCAGCCTGGTCACCCCTCTCTCGCCTCTCCCTGTTTGCCTTCCTGCTCCCAAACATTCCCAAAAGGGCAGTCTCCACGGCAGCCCCAGCTCAGCCCTGGACGCCATCCCGGATCGGACAGGGCATGAGCCTTGCAGCCCGCCACACCGTGCCCTGCGTGTGCAGACTGCCTCTGCTCTCTGCCCTTCCATCCCTTCTCTGACCTTTGGAAAGCACTAGCAATGCCGTCAGTACAACCACGTTATGCGTCACGAGGTCTGTGAGACTCTCCCAGGAGGGAGGAAAAGCCTCTGGATTCTCAGCAGAGAGGTCTGGATCACTGACCCTGCAGTGCTCTGAGTGCTGTGAGCTTAGATCTTGTATCAAAGACATTGAGTCATTATGGGTGAAGGTTTAACGCCCACATATACATTAACCACAAAGGGAGGCATCTGTAAGAAAAATCACACTTAGTCCTAACTGTCCGTAAGACAACTGCCACAGCAAGCTTGGAGGCCTGACTTTCATTTGCACTAATGTCACTTTTCACAGCAGGACATAAATTAATGGGAGGATGAAAAGGACCAAGCAAAGGAGGGTGACTTCAGGCTTTGCCTAGACCTGTTCTTGGCATATCACCATCCATCCCCCATTGCTCCTCCTACACCACAGCCTGGTGAGCTGGGGGATCAACACGGATGAAAAATGGATCAGGAAACCCTGTAATGCCTCATTTCAAGCCACATCTGGCCCAGCTCACGGTGCAGAGGAAAGCAGGGACAGCCGGAGTGACAGGAGGCAGGAGGAGATGACTGTGAAACTGCCCCTGGTGCGTGTGACCATGGTGCTCTCATCATGACAACAGGAGTGCTTAAGGTCTCAATGCGGGAGGCCCTGCTCTCTCCTACAGGAGAGGAGGATCCCACAGGGGAACCTCCTCCTGGCTTGCTGCTTCTCCAGTCTGATTTTTCCTGAAGGCAAGAGCTATATAGACTATTCCCATGAGCCTCCTCAGCCTCTTGTGAAAAGGCAGTAGTATTTTCTCATTGCCTTTGGCTCTGCTCCTCTCGATAGCTCTCAGAATTGTGTTATTTTGTTTTGCAAACACTCACCATTCACTGGAGCTCCAAATCGACCAGTCATGACATCAAAGAAATTCCCGACGTTGGTTTCGACACTGCTGAAGATGATGCCACTGTTCTGGTTGCTGAAGTGAGTAGCCATGGAAGCCATGAATGCAACCTATGCAAATGCAGTTTATACTTAGTCAGTTATTCATGAAATGTGCAAATATGGAGGAATCGGCTACAGAATTTCATCTCTTATTCATGGTCTGTTTATTTTCCTGACAGAGATGTTCTTCTAGGGCATGATCCAAGGTCATTAAACTCTAGTAACAAAATTCCCATTGAGTGAAACTGGAAGAACACTAGCTTCCTTAGGTTCAATTGCGCTATTCATGACTGTTAAAGTAAGTGTATGGGCAAGTGTTCGCAGGTAAGAACCTTAGTTTTGGATTTTATTTATCTTAAATTCTCTCTAGAATGATGCAGTAGAAAAGTGGTATTGAAATATACGGTGTTTTGCATAAAAATAATTTAATTAGCTTTTATATGTTGCCCCGTGCATTTAAGCTGGATATTGCTTTTAACTGAAAGTGTGAAATAAATCATGCATGGTAAAATCCATACACATTAGTAGTTTTGATGACTACCTTCAGAGATGCATGAGTCATTTTTATTAAAGATGTCCTAGAAGTAAAGTGATGGGGATTCACCAATCAGTACTATTTCTCTTACCATGTGCTCTGTATTTCTCAGTCAAGATATATGGTGGTGAGGATCAAAAGGGGAAACTAAAAAAGTGAAAATTGTACTAGAACTCCCTATTCATCTTCTTGTAGTGAGAGGTATAGTTTGTGGAAAATGTTTTGTAGGAAGCTGTGAAAACCAACCGCCTAGGCAGGGAAAGGTGTTTGTGGGTCTTGGAGGCCATGGTCACCCAGCGGACTGATAGCAGAGTGACAGGAGCAGAGACACTGCATCTGGAGGCCAGAAGGTCGTGAGGGGAGTTGACAGATGTTTTATTTCTGTCTTGCTACTTTTTAAATGGAAAATGCTCAGTTGCAGTTGTTACTGCCTCTCACAAAAGTGTCATTTTCCATGAGATTTCAACTACATAGGAAATGAAAAAAAAATCAGCCCCTTCCCTTCTTTTGATTTCAGATCCAAATAAGAATGAAACTGAAACAGGCAAAATCAAATGCTCAGTCAGATCCAACACTGGAAATCATAAGCCATCTGCTAAGAAATCTGAGGAGCACCAGATGTACACTGAAGACTGGGCTTATTTTCCTTATCCTGCATGGATGCATTTACCGTAACAGCAAACTCCTAACTTCTTGCATCTCAGCCAGGGTCACATCAAAGTTCATCATGTGTTAAAGCAAAGCAGCTGCAATGGCAGCTTTATGGAATTTATTGCTTTTTGTCTGGATTCCATTTTGCTTTCTCTTTGACCCCACACTCCTTTGCTTGCACTCACCAGAAGAGTTGGAAAAGGTGTCTTTTTTCTCTGTCCTATTTTGAAGTAGCAGATCAATATGGATACAGATGTCTTTCAAAATAATCCTGTACTTAATGGTATTGTATTTGAAGGTGTTTCTTCCTCTCCCTATCCCTTCCCTAGAATTCTAAAGCATGATGTTGACAAGAAATTTTATGCTTTACTGTGTAAAGAATTTTAAAGCACACATCTGTTAAATATAGCCAAAGAATTTTACTTTAAAGCAAGTACTGTAATATGAGCCTTGTGTTTTCATCATCTTTCATTTTTCGATATTTAAATAAATCAATGCTGCTAACTTACTGTTAAGAAAAACACTAGATAACTCATTTTGAAATTGCTGAAGTGTCTATGATGAATGTAATTACAACAAATACGTTTTTCAAGATATTCAGCTAAAACACTAATCCTAGTTAATTCTTTAAGAATGCTAAAATAATTCTGCTTTATCACAGAAGTCTACTACTTTTGGAAACTAATTTCAGACTGAATTTTATTCTGTACAGTTACCCCGTCTCCATGCAACCTAGCGCTGAGTATTCAAATATACACAATGCCAAGAAATGCCAAAGAAAAAGCAATTTTCCCACATTACACACATGTTGGTTTATTGGTGACTTTGCTGTTAGTTTTCATGCCTTTTCTGAAGAGATGAGCAAGGTCTAATCCGAAAGCTATGTAATTATGTTAACACAGTGGTGAGCCTGAACAAATATACCCAAGCCCTTAGCAAAGGCGACAGCTCGGGCCTGAACCCACGTTATCATGTTCACCTGGCTTTGGGATAGCTCCATCACGGCAGAACGTACCTGCTTCTCCCTCATGCCAGCTGCATGGAGATAATCCATATAGTTCTGAGCAACATTTTAGAGGTACATTTAAAAACAGAGGTAGCTACTGAGGACGTTTTTCAAAACCTGACGACTCTGGACTTCACTCAAGGGTTTTGACCCAGTATGTGAGGATTTGGATACAAATGGTGCTGCGAAGCTCCCAAGGCCTGGCAGACCTCAGAAGTGTGGGCCCTTGCTCTTCTCACGTGCCCTAGGAAGCACAGAGGTATGTATGTGATACAGCTTAATGGGAAAATTATGGTCCCGTTTACTCTCCTTTAACGATCCAGTTACTGGCTTTCTGCCCTAAAAGGGAATGGTATATGCTTCTTCCTGCTCATTTTGCAGCTGGATTCTTACTCTGAAGAAGGGCTAAGCCCTGGTGTCTTTTATTTTGTTTTGCAAACACTCACCATTCACTGGAGCTCCAAATCGACCAGTCATGACATCAAAGAAATTCCCGACGTTGGTTTCGACACTGCTGAAGATGATGCCACTGTTCTGGTTGCTGAAGTGAGTAGCCATGGAAGCCATGAATGCAACCTATGCAAATGCAGTTTATACTTAGTCAGTTATTCATGAAATGTGCAAATATGGAGGAATCGGCTACAGAATTTCATCTCTTATTCATGGTCTGTTTATTTTCCTGACAGAGATGTTCTTCTAGGGCATGATCCAAGGTCATTAAACTCTAGTAACAAAATTCCCATTGAGTGAAACTGGAAGAACACTAGCTTCCTTAGGTTCAATTGCGCTATTCATGACTGTTAAAGTAAGTGTATGGGCAAGTGTTCGCAGGTAAGAACCTTAGTTTTGGATTTTATTTATCTTAAATTCTCTCTAGAATGATGCAGTAGAAAAGTGGTATTGAAATATACGGTGTTTTGCATAAAAATAATTTAATTAGCTTTTATATGTTGCCCCGTGCATTTAAGCTGGATATTGCTTTTAACTGAAAGTGTGAAATAAATCATGCATGGTAAAATCCATACACATTAGTAGTTTTGATGACTACCTTCAGAGATGCATGAGTCATTTTTATTAAAGATGTCCTAGAAGTAAAGTGATGGGGATTCACCAATCAGTACTATTTCTCTTACCATGTGCTCTGTATTTCTCAGTCAAGATATATGGTGGTGAGGATCAAAAGGGGAAACTAAAAAAGTGAAAATTGTACTAGAACTCCCTATTCATCTTCTTGTAGTGAGAGGTATAGTTTGTGGAAAATGTTTTGTAGGAAGCTGTGAAAACCAACCGCCTAGGCAGGGAAAGGTGTTATCTGGTCTGTGAGGCCATGGTCACCCAGCGGACTGATAGCAGAGTGACAGGAGCAGAGACACTGCATCTGGAGGCCAGAAGGTCGTGAGGGGAGTTGACAGATGTTTTATTTCTGTCTTGCTACTTTTTAAATGGAAAATGCTCAGTTGCAGTTGTTACTGCCTCTCACAAAAGTGTCATTTTCCATGAGATTTCAACTACATAGGAAATGAAAAAAAAATCAGCCCCTTCCCTTCTTTTGATTTCAGATCCAAATAAGAATGAAACTGAAACAGGCAAAATCAAATGCTCAGTCAGATCCAACACTGGAAATCATAAGCCATCTGCTAAGAAATCTGAGGAGCACCAGATGTACACTGAAGACTGGGCTTATTTTCCTTATCCTGCATGGATGCATTTACCGTAACAGCAAACTCCTAACTTCTTGCATCTCAGCCAGGGTCACATCAAAGTTCATCATGTGTTAAAGCAAAGCAGCTGCAATGGCAGCTTTATGGAATTTATTGCTTTTTGTCTGGATTCCATTTTGCTTTCTCTTTGACCCCACACTCCTTTGCTTGCACTCACCAGAAGAGTTGGAAAAGGTGTCTTTTTTCTCTGTCCTATTTTGAAGTAGCAGATCAATATGGATACAGATGTCTTTCAAAATAATCCTGTACTTAATGGTATTGTATTTGAAGGTGTTTCTTCCTCTCCCTATCCCTTCCCTAGAATTCTAAAGCATGATGTTGACAAGAAATTTTATGCTTTACTGTGTAAAGAATTTTAAAGCACACATCTGTTAAATATAGCCAAAGAATTTTACTTTAAAGCAAGTACTGTAATATGAGCCTTGTGTTTTCATCATCTTTCATTTTTCGATATTTAAATAAATCAATGCTGCTAACTTACTGTTAAGAAAAACACTAGATAACTCATTTTGAAATTGCTGAAGTGTCTATGATGAATGTAATTACAACAAATACGTTTTTCAAGATATTCAGCTAAAACACTAATCCTAGTTAATTCTTTAAGAATGCTAAAATAATTCTGCTTTATCACAGAAGTCTACTACTTTTGGAAACTAATTTCAGACTGAATTTTATTCTGTACAGTTACCCCGTCTCCATGCAACCTAGCGCTGAGTATTCAAATATACACAATGCCAAGAAATGCCAAAGAAAAAGCAATTTTCCCACATTACACACATGTTGGTTTATTGGTGACTTTGCTGTTAGTTTTCATGCCTTTTCTGAAGAGATGAGCAAGGTCTAATCCGAAAGCTATGTAATTATGTTAACACAGTGGTGAGCCTGAACAAATATACCCAAGCCCTTAGCAAAGGCGACAGCTCGGGCCTGAACCCACGTTATCATGTTCACCTGGCTTTGGGATAGCTCCATCACGGCAGAACGTACCTGCTTCTCCCTCATGCCAGCTGCATGGAGATAATCCATATAGTTCTGAGCAACATTTTAGAGGTACATTTAAAAACAGAGGTAGCTACTGAGGACGTTTTTCAAAACCTGACGACTCTGGACTTCACTCAAGGGTTTTGACCCAGTATGTGAGGATTTGGATACAAATGGTGCTGCGAAGCTCCCAAGGCCTGGCAGACCTCAGAAGTGTGGGCCCTTGCTCTTCTCACGTGCCCTAGGAAGCACAGAGGTATGTATGTGATACAGCTTAATGGGAAAATTATGGTCCCGTTTACTCTCCTTTAACGATCCAGTTACTGGCTTTCTGCCCTAAAAGGGAATGGTATACGCTTCTTCCTGCTTATTTTGCATCTGGATTCTTACTCTGAAGAAGGGCTAAGCCCTGGTGTCTTTCTTTTGCAGGAAGATCTGGCAGAGCACATTACTCAGTCCTGGCAAGTGCTGTGTATGTCACCCTGTAGTGTATACAGTTACAGATGGATTTGCTTCCCAAGCATCCCGCAGTGTATCCTACGGTAATCAGGAACAGCTTTTCAGAGGAGAAAACTCCATAACCGGAGCACTGCTGCAGGCAGCACGAGAGATCTTGTACCTGCAGCTCCGGGGGGATCCCAGGGTAGCCCTTCTCCCCTTTGGGTCCGTGATGGCCGCGCTCTCCTCTTGGTCCCATATCTCCTTTGTCTCCTTTCTCACCCTTGGCTCCCTCCTGGCCTGTTGCTCCATTATTCCCGTTGTTTCCATGATTTCCTTAATAGAGGATTAAGATTTTGATGAGCAGGTTTCCAAAATGAGATGCAACTGTGTGTAAGAGTTAACCCTTCCTTGGCACTGGTGTTGCTCAAGTCCCTGTAGGCAGTTGTGCAGGAAGAAACTTCAGCAGATACAAGGCTCAGGGAAAGCAAAGGCTGCTGCCTGGTGGGACGTCCAGGTAGCCCATGTAGGTGCTTCTGCTTTTACTTCTCCATAAAATCTTTTCTCCTGTTGTTCTCATAGGATAATTTGGAGAAACATTTTGCTATCTTCAAAATGTGTCTTGCAAATGGAGAAAGGCAGTAACCTTAAACTAGTTAAAATGTGTTTTAGGGTCTAAATTCTCAGGGTGTAGGTTTCCTTAGAAGGGTTGATAGGTCATCCCTAGACTTACAGAAAGACAAAAATCTTATAATGAAGCCTTTCTGAAGTGGTTTTATATAAAGGGGCTCATTGTAAAAAGGTATTTCTGCATCTACGCTATTACTTACTTCCTGGTGTTTACTGAGGAAATTACTGAGCAAACATCTGTGACTGACAAAATTTCAAAACTGGCTAGAATAACTGAATGATTATTATGCTTACCTGAAGCAAGATCTCAATCTTAAACTAATTACTAAGGGAATTAGTTAATGCAATCGTTGATCTAACTCTACTTGAATTGAAATGAGGTTCTGTGCAGCTCTGCTTCTTCATTGATGCAAAGCAGTTAGGTACTGTAATCATGAATTTGCAAGAATAGTGTTGTTTGAGGTCAAATCTAGTGAGTAATTTCTCATTTTTTTTGTATTGAGAAAAAACATGATATCCAATAACGAAGCTAAATGATAGCTGTAAATAAGTTTTATTTAAGTAGAGAAATCAGTAGACTTTACAAATTAAAAGTATGATCCTTCATACAAATAAAGAACCACTTCTCTGTTTGTAACAGACGCCTGCAAGCAATATTTGAATCAATCAGTGAACCACAGCTGTTGTTATTTCCCTTTGGCACATTGTGATAAAAAAATGCAGCAGATGAAGGAGACAGAGAAATTCCTGGCTGCAGAATGATGCTGTAGAATAGCATTTGTGGTGTCTTTTGACAGCATGAGAGTGTGACTGAGTTACATTCCCTCATGTAGGGACAGGCAAAGTTGTGTCCGGATACAACCACTGCAGTATCCCAACTGCAGCCGCCAAAGTATGGGCATAAGCAACACTTTGTCCCACTTCTAAGCAGCCAAATCAATTAATACATAAGGCAGCGTTTCAGCACAAGAGGTCTCACTGTTACATTTCTCCTACATCTATAATGGTCGTGCTATTCTTATAAAGGACTGATGCATGAAATAATAAATTCTAGCTCATGGCAGTCTAATGTCAAATATGCTTAATACTTCATTATGCTTAACATCAAAACATTTCTGAGTAGCAATTTATTTCAGTGTTCTGCAATCCGAAGCTAATTCTTTAAATGCTTCATTTAGAAAAGTGTCAGATGTGCCTGTTAGTGGAAAATATTTATCTCATAGCATATAAAATCACCTTAAGGAGAGAGTGCGTCTTTTTTTGTGAATGGTTATCTGTTATCTCTGGTAGCTGACAGTAAATCTGTGAGACAGAATGATAAAGAAATATATTTTATTGACACAACAGAAGAGGAAAGATCGGGAAGATGAGGCAAATCTGTCAATGATGTGTTCATTTACTTTACACATCTGCTTTAGAAATGATCATTTCATGAAAGTAACCACCATACTACTTACACCAACATACCATCTTTTCCCTTTCTGCAGATTTGTTTCTTTACGTGGCAATTACTTGATCAAATTATACCCTTTTCTTAGGTGTCCTGTTATTCTGTGTGCATTTTTAATAAATCAGTTATTTTATATTATGGAAGACAACAAGATGAGAGAAGAGAGCATGTGTGTGTCTGTAAAAATTTGGCTAGACAGGAAAGCTCCTAAAAGCAGCACAATTTGGCATTGCTGAATATTCAATGATGAAAGCAATAATCAACCCCAGAGAACAAGTTCTCCCAACTGTAATGGACACTTCATGCAGCTTTAAGAAGAGAGAACAATTTGGCCAAATGCAAAGAGACTACTTTCAGCATGATTTTCTTAAAGCTGGATTTTATTAACAAGTCATTTTCCACTGGCATAGACTTCAGAGTTTAACTGGTATTAGACCCCTATCTTCCCTGAAATAACCGAAAAACCCATTTCCAAATTTCTCCTCATCTTGTGATGTTCAGACCATTCTCACAGAGTTTATTGCCTGAAAGCAGACTGATCAGGAATCAACTGAACCTCTTTACCTGGCATCCCAGGGGGGCCGGGAGGTCCTGGGGGCCCTTGGTAGAGTCGATCTCCAAAATCGCCGCGGCAGCAGGTACTGCAGTCGGGATTCTGTGGTCCTGTTTGTGGGGGCTAAGTGCACAAAAATAGGTTATAAATAACGAATTCATGGAATGCATTAATCATACATGTGTCAGTTACAGGATCTTCTTTATATAGTATCGGTATATATATTTGTATAAGTTTTCAAAACCCTTCTTATCTGGAACCCTTCCTCCAAAAATGTTATTTTTGGAAGATTTAAGGAAAAAGCTCTTCAAGTGTTCTGAGAGTTAGATAAACACAAAAAGAAGAAATAAGTTGGCATGTTAAAAAATGGGGGATATGGAAATGAAATAATACTGACTAGTGAAGGTTAAGTGGATATGTCAGTTAGGTTTCTATCTTGCTTTTCCCTGACCCCAAATTTCATGTAAGACCCTTTGCTGACAAGCAAGCCTAAGTGCAATGAGTGTCAGGAAAAAAGGGCCTTCCTGTGGCCTTCAGCAGTGAGCTGTCTTCTGCTAAACGTGGAGAAAACTGGATCAGATTGACAGGAAGAGATGTACAAAATTGTCCATACAGCAAATACCTGCAAATGACCCCAAGACAGCACATTTGCAAACTACTAAAGTTAAGACAACCTACCAAAGCGCCAAGGCACATGAGAAGACTCAAACTGACCATGACACATGGGGTTAAGGACATTTGATTATTCATACTTGTGGATATGTAACTATGAAAAACTGTTTATATGATGAAATGTATAGCAGCACAAATAAACAAATGAGTTGATTATGCACAGCTTCACTACTGTAATAATAGTCTGATTATAGTTTGCTATTATCAGTTTTCATTGCTTTTCTTTCCCAAATTACTGTATTTAGGCTAATGGATTCTCATTCAGTTCTGGTCAGATTTTATAACTAGGCTGTCATTTTGATTTAACAGCGGGTACAAAGCTTTCATTGGGTCAGCTGAGGTAGAGGTCATGGCTTTTATTTTATTTTTCTACCTCCTTTTCATTTTTCCTTCTTTGTTGGTCTTCCTCTGCAATTCTTTTCTATTATCCTGAGGTACAAATCTGCAGTGCTTAAATTCTGCAGGGGAATAGTCACACAATTGGACTGCTACTTTTTCCTGATCATTCTGCTATTTGTCTTCCTTCCCTTTCTTTCCACTGTTGTTCTTTGTCACCCTTTCCTAATGCACAGCTACTGGTTTAACTGCAGCAAATGAGCCCCTGGTCCTCTGGGCATAGCTAAATGAACATATAGCTGCACTGTATTCCTACCCTTGAGGCCACCACCTGGCCTAATCTGAAATGTCCAGGCTTGCTGCCCATCTTTTGAATGATTCCAAGCACACCCCCAGAAAGTCATTAATTTCAAGAGGCTCCAGAATTTGTGTTTATGGCTGTAGAAGGACATCTTT